GCTAGAATATGATTATTGGAATGAGATTTAATTCCAGGAATCCAAACAGCTCCTATCACAAGAAAAAAATAATTATATGATATGGTAAAATATTCGTTACCCTTGATTTATTTCACCATGCACCTAAAGACATGGTAAAATATTCTTTACCCTTTGGCGCCAAGTACCATGTTCAGAAAAGGAGTACATATATCAGCCAAAGTCCAGTACAAATATGGCAGAACTGCAGCCAAACATTCAATACGTGTTTCCTTGCTCTATGCTCATTCGTGCAGCTGTCGCTTTCACTCTACTGGACGTGTCCCTAATGCATTTTCCATCTTATATGGTGCGCCCACATGTTCAACGTGTGTCCCTAATATAATGCGCAAAGGTCTCTGTTTCACGATTATTAGTTCTCCATTAACATGACATGTCACGGCGAGATGATAAGATAAGATTCGGCCACCTTGTGAGTTGTGATGGCAATCGTTCGAACACAGGAGCGTACTATCGCTGATCTCGAATTGGTGCTCATCGTCCCTTCTCGCGTGAAATTCGTGCACGCTGGGGCATTTCCATTTGACGACTGGAGTAGAAACCAACAGGTAGGCAAATCACAGTGTCAACATCTCGTCATCCTCAACGTTTCAACCTTCACCATATGTTGATCCGTCTTAAGAAAAAAAATTCCATGTCCACCAAACAAGAAAATTGGATTATTTAATCAAATAGTAGGTAATCATTTCTTCAAGAATTAATACTACAGATGTGGGGGTTTTTTCAACGGCATCCTCGCTGAATTTATTAGAACATTTGGTGACAACATATCACCGCCAGTTCTCGTCTTGAACCGACAATAAAAATTATTTTCACCACCGGTTCAAGAAAAAACCCGATGGTGAAAAACTGGTGCAGCCCGCACATTCGATTTCCTCTCCGATCGCATTCTTTCTCTGACATGCTGACGTACGTGGAACCATACGCCCATCCTCCCAGGGCTCTCAGCCTACCTCTCCCTTCTTCGCTTCCTCTCTTTCTCCCTTCCCGCGAGAGAACCTTGCTGTCCCTCCCTCCGGGCGTCGACAACCATTTGGCAAGATATGCATGGGTGGACAAGATTGTCAAGATATGCACGCGCGCATGCTGCGTTGTCGACTTGAGCTGTTGTGTTGCACGTTCCTGTGATCTGGACCTCAAACCGATCCATCAACGCACACGCACCGCAGGTTCTTCTCCCGATCTCGTTTATTTGGTGTGTGATTGCGGTAAGGTAGAGGTTGTGGCGAGGTCGGCGTACGGTTGGGGACCCCGAGTAATCAAGTGGTGGCGTTGCGTCTCAGCGGCAGTCAGCATGAGGGACGGAGGTGCTGTGGCTACCGGGGTCACAGTTGTACTCGACGCGGCGGGCGGTGTGGTTGTTGCGTCATCGTGCACGGCGGCCGATGTCATCGGTGCAGCCGCGTGGTGTCCAGGTGATGGAGACATGTCGTCGTCGGACAATGGTGCTAAGAGCAGCTCCAGGCTGAACCGTCCAACCGAGCGTCTACGTCTGTCAAGCCACGAAGGCAACTGTTCAATCCGCTGCAAGCAAACAAAGCACTACAGTAGCGTGTGGTTCGTTTCACCCGCATTTACGTCTGTGGTCTGTCAAGCCACGATCGAAAGCAACCATTCAATCCACTGCTAGCGAACAAACCACTGTTGTAGCACGTGGAGTTTGACTAGCTTTATAAAAATACAAGCAATACTGATATCTTGAAATAAGTTTATTATACAAATATATTCAGCGAATTATCTAACATTATAAATTATGCACACCATGAATATTTGGACCGGGTCACAGAGAAAGCAGAGCGTCGTGATAGTGCTAGGGCCATGCCTCCCATGAGTCATGGCCTAGGCCCATGGACGTCGTCAATGCGGTCTATGGCCAAGTTCAAGCCTAGATGAGCGGATGTCCATGGCCATGGCCCATGGCGTAGCATGAGGTGCAGAGTAATGGCGCCACATCATTGTTGAGTTTTTAGGTCGTGCAGTAAAATCAAAGAGGTAGCAAACGTGACAGACAGTGGCGGAGTCAAGGAAAAAATTATAGCTAGGGCAAATTGCAACCAAGAAATGAGCCAAATGGCACAACATTCACACGTGCTAGAATCATACTAGAGCCTCTTTAACTTGGTCCGCCATTCAAAACTTATAAAATAATTTTTCAGGTCTACACAGAAATTGAAGTAACACTCGTCAAATTAACATCCTCTACTACTAAAGAATGAAGAAATTGTTAGATTGACAGATCGAGATGCTCATGAACAATACCATTTGTTTTGCTCTTCTTGCCAATGCCAATCCTGGACACTTCCACCTCGCCCTCGGCCTCGGCCGAATCCAGGTGCTGGCGCTGGTGCTCTGTCCCTAACTTGTTTGCGACGTTGGTAGACTCCAATGCCGAGTACACCCTCACCCTCCTCGTGGTGGACCACTGGACCTCCTCCTCTCCTCCCTCCATCGCAGCAAAACAGCAGCAACCAGCAGGCCAGCAGCGGCCGGCCGCCAGTGCTACGGTGGGAGGCGGGCGCCGGGCGGTGCTGCTGGGGGGCAGCGGCGAAGCAGTGGTGGCTCCAACACTCTGCGACGGTCGGCGCGGCGCCGTGGTGGCCGGTGGGCGGCGGACGGCGCGGCAACCAGATCCTCGCCTAGGGCGTCGGCGGCTCAGCGTGTCGCTGCAATTTCACAAAAAATTGGTGAACGAATCCACTAGGGAAAAGGGAATGAGGAGTGTGCGACAGTGGGCTTCGATGGGCCTCCCACCTATGCTGGGCTGAACAAAGTTAAGGAAAAGCCCATCCCCTTGTTTCTTCCTCCCTGCTCGAGCGCCGCAGGTCGCTCTGCTCGTGCTCGGCTGCTCGCTCGCCGCCGGGGTTTGGGAAAAAGCGCAGGTCCGGGGGTCTGGGGCGAACTCGCCGGTAGCTGGGGCGGCCGCCCCGCCCCGCCCCTAGGGTGGCTCGGCTCATGGAGAGAGATTTATGCTAGTTTAGCCAGGTTTCCTAAAAACAGGGAAGCACGCACAATTGCACAAAGGCCATACTAGATGACACATTTTGAGTCTTTTTAGTTGTATGGATAGATATAGATATAGATATAGATATAGAATAAGAAAATAGAAGATAGAAGATGTGTGTACTGGAGCAGCAGTTAGCAGGTTAGGGGCCCTTTGGTAGGGCTTTGGCTCCGGCTTATTTGCCTGCTTATGCCGAAGCCCTACCAAACGCTAAAAATCAAAATGGCTTCTTCCCAGAAGCCGGTAAAAGCCTCTAGCGTTTTTGCACTAGGATGAGAGAGCCGAAAAAAGTGGCTTCCCCCGGCTTCTCTTCCTCCCTTGCGCCAAGACAAATGGAACTATCCCTCAACTTGGCTGGAATTGCAACGAAATTGCCACTCCTACCTCTCTGGTGGCGGCGCGAAGCTCACCGGTGATGAGAGGTCGCAGCTGCCCGGCGCGAATGGTAGCAGGTGCACGCGTGCAGCCGCAGCTGGATGGCGCGGACCGACAGCGGGGTGGAGCAGCGGCAGCGCGGTGCTGGGCAGATCAATGACGGCGTGACCCCGCGGGGCGCACTAGCGGCAGAGCAGCTCAGTGGCAGGTCGAATCGGCGGCGTAGCCCAGCACGAGAGACGAGAGAGAGAAGACGAGAGAGCGAGATTGGGAGAGCGGACGGTGGACTCCGGATAAGAGGATAAGGATGTACCGAAAGAAAGGGAAATAGGAAAGGAGGAAAGGAAAAAAATAGAAAAGAAAAATAAAAGGATAAAAATAAATAGAAAGATAAGAGGAAAAAACGAAAGAAGGAAAAATCATAAGGGCATTATCTTTTTATTTCACACAAATCACATTATCAATAAAGCCACACATAAAACTCATATGTGCAAGCAACATACGTATGCAAGGGCAAAATGGATAATTGACATCTTCTATACATTCTAAAAAGCCAGGAGAAGCCGTTTTGCCAAACGTTTTCCTACAAAATAAGCTAGAGCCAGAAAAAGCTGCTTTTCCAGTTGAGCTAGAGCTAGAGCTGTTTTTTCACGAGTCAAAGCCGTGCCAAACGGGCCCTTAGTAGCCCATTACCAATCTGCCGTTGTACCAGGCCGCGTCGTTTCAGCCTAAATCCGTGCGCTCTCCCCTCCCTTCCCCGAACACGCACACTGAAACGCTCACAGGCGTACGGGGCGTCAGGGCCACGGCCCACGGGGCAGACGTCCGCAGTCTCAGCCCTTGTTTAGTTCCTCCCAAACTCTCAACTCTGACACTATGCAAAAAGAAGATTCCCCGTCACATCAAACTTGCGGTATATGTATGGAATAATAAAAGTAGACAAAATTAAAAACTAATTGCACAGTTTGGTTGTACTTTGCGAGACAAACATTTTGAGCCTAATTAATCTACAGTTAGACAATTATTACCAAATACAAACGAAATGCTACAGTAGGGAATCTGGCACTATGCAAACTTTGCACATCCAAATTCCGGCCAACTAAACGCGCCCTCACTCTGCAGCAGGGCGTCTTCAGACTCCAGAAGACCAGAAGAAGCAGCTCAGGGCACGGTTGCGCCCGGTTCTTGCTGTTGCTGTCTCCTCATGAACAAATTCAAGGGCTTACTGTGCATTTAAATCAAATATAAGGGTTATAGAGTATCTATGTGTTAGAAAATGAACAAATAAGAGAGAAAGCAAAGTTAGATAATTTGATAAGCTATGGGATTAATAAATTAATTTATGTATGCTCGAACTAGTTGATAATGATGGACCCATACTAGACACTAGTTCATGGGCTGGTTTCCTTGTATAGTACTAGCTAGTAAAAAAAAAGTATACCTTTTTCAAGTTGTAGTTTTAGCTTATATCCGTATATCACAATCAAATAGAATTTCGAAGTACTATAAACGGGAGCGCCTATAAATGGAGACGTTATGCATCATGAGGCTATAACAACTTGAGCAAAAACAGAAGCCCTACGCCATGGCGCTTAGCAAGAAGCAACACACAAGCACTGATCAGCAGGCCGTGCTGGATGCTCAGCTCCTGCTCTGGCACCACACCATGGGCTATGTCAAGTCCATGGCACTCAAGGCCGCCCTAGACCTCAGCATCCCCGACGCCGTCCACCAGCACGGCGGCTCAGCCACCCTCCCACAGATAGTCACCAAGGTCACGCTCCACCCGTCAAAGATACCATGCCTGCGACGCCTCATGCGTGTGCTCACTCTCACCGGCGTCTTCAGCGTCCACGCCGGCGGCGACGATGAGCCTGTTTACGGACTCACGCCGGCGTCCCGCCTTCTGGTCGGCTCGGGGATGAACGTGACTCCATTCCTGACCTTGATGCTTGGTACTGTCTTTGTGTCTTCCTTGTTCGACCTCGGCGAGTGGTTCCGGCACGAGTTGCCGGACCCGTCCCCCTTCAAGTTTGCGCATGGACGGCATATATGGGATCTGGCCGACCACGACGCCAGCTTCGGCAAGCTCTTCGACGACGGGATGGTCGCGGACAGCAGTTTCATCATGGACGTGGTGGTCAAGGAGTGTGGCGACGTCTTCCAAGGGATTAGCTCCCTCGTCGACGTCGCCGGCGGGCTCGGCGGCGCTACCCAGACCATCGCAAAGGCTTTCCCGCATGTGGAGTGCAGCGTGCTGGATCTCCCACACGTTGTCGCCAATGCTCCCACTGACACCGATGTGAAGTACATCGCCGGTGACATGTTTGAGAGCATTCCGTCGGCAAACTCTGTCTTCCTGAAGGTATACGCCCATATAATTGTCAAATCGTGCTCTTGTTGAGTATCGTGATGATAGTCACTTCCATTATTATTTTTGGTTCTAGTGGATTCTGCATGACTGGAGTGATGCCGAATGTGTCAAGATATTGAAGAACTGCAAGAAGGCCATAGCATCTCAAGGAGGAGGGAAGGTGATAATATTGGATATGGTGGTTGGAGCAGGGTCATCCGACGAGAAGCATGTGGAGACGCAGATCTTGTTTGATCTCTTTATGATGTTTATCAATGGTGCCGAGCGAGATGAGCTAGAGTGGAAGAAGATTCACTACCGGACTCCTTGAGTTTGCCGAGTGTCCGAAACACTCGGCAAAATACCTAAAACACTCGGCAAATTGTTTGCCGAGTGTAACACTCGGCGAACAACACTCGCCATAAACAGTTCCGGCAAAGCCAACTTTGCCGAGTGCCATTTATCGGGCACTCGGCAACCATTTTGCCGTGTGCAGTTTAGCTCTCTACGAAAAGAAACAGTCATAACGTAAGACCCGTCGTTAACAGCAACTTCGCCGAGTGTCAAACGGCAAGGCACTCGGCAAAATTTTTTTTTTAAAATATTTTTGGTTTTTAGAATTCCTTTTTCGCCGAGTGTTGCACTCGGCACATGATAAACATATGCCGAGTGTGGCGCTGTAAGACACTCGGCAAACATTTTTCAAACAGTATTTGTTTTTTTAAAAATCCTTTTCGCCGAGTGTTGCACTCGGCAAATGATAAACATATGCCGAGTGTGGCACTGTAAGACACTCGGCAAATATTTTTCAAACAGTATTTGGTATTTTTAAAAAATATCTTTCGCCGAGTGTCTTGGTGAGAACACTCGGCAAATTGTGTTTGCTTTGCCGAGTGTCTTGGTCATAACACTCGGCAAAGCCTCAGAAATCTGATTTTTTTGGTTTTGCATTACATTTCACAGCACATATATATATCACAGCACAGATATATTACACAACACATATATCACATATATATATCATCTCCACATATCACATACATCACAATAATCCACAATGGTACACAAATGTCATACCACAATACCAACATAAGGTTCGAGTTTAAAGTATCCACCACAAGTGCATTACAAGCATAAGTGCAACACAAGGAATAAGTTCAACACATGAAAAGAAGCAAATCACCAATTAGACCACGACGACTGCTGCGGTGGGTCATGAGGTACATCGTTTGATGCCGCCGATTGACCCTGCACAAAGAATAGATAAGATTAATTCTTTGGAGAAGCTAATCGATTGGTTAAACTTCCATTAACCAACCATGTCAGTTGAATCGCTTGACACCAAGTACAATATACAATCAGGCACTCCGGCCGTACTCCATGATGCTCGTGCAATGAGATTGTCTCTAGTACATGGTGGTTTCTACACATAAAGATGGTGGATACTTTACTATGTAATCAGGCACTCCGGCCATACACATAAAGATGGGCAACACGTAATCAGGCACTCCGGCCATACACATAAAGATGGGCTACCCAACTTTCCTATAGCACCAGTCGGGCTCAGTTTCAAAAGGTTTGGTACCATGACTAATCATTAGTCACTCATGTAAAGTTTCAGTACTAGACCATTAAAACTGTTTGACAAAGAAAAAACCATATAAAGGCTTATAAGTTGGCAACTAATATTCATGACTCCATGTAAACTAACCAAGATAGATCTGTTCACTGACCAGTGTGCCTGAACATATCATTGGAGGCACCTGTACAAAGAGCAACTAAAAGATCTCAACATGGAAGGAAAGCTGGTACCATGGAAGCACTCCCGGAGAAGAATATTTTAATGGCGACACAAGACAGATGTGACGTAAAGGCTCCAATAGCAAACCTACTAAAGCCTGAATGTTCTTTTATGGTCTCAAACTATGTTCATTTTGTAAAATCTGTAGGCTGTCCAGACTTACTTTACCAAGAGAGCTTAACTGCAGCTGTCTGAACTCTCTCATTCTAAAGTAGTAACTAGGTAAAAGTATTAATTTCCTGTTAGCTAAGAAAGTTTGCCCCCAACCGAGAGACATACTACGTAGTAGACAAAGTCACAAAGCACAATGCCAGAAGGAAAATTAGTTTTGCAGTCGCAAATAATTGCAGTTGAAATATCAGTTATATACAAAACATTTTTTTCCTTCTTCCATAACTGAACCCAGGATCTAATTTTTGTTAGTCACCGGATTCAAGTACCCCTAAATGATGAGTCCCTCATATATGTTATTGTTTGGGCCTTTGCTCAGAGTCACCGGATTTCTATATTTCCCCTTCCTATCGATCAATATGCACCCCAAATCACAGTAGAGCACCCGGCATTTAGATGTGTTAGCAGCATATCATCAGATCTGATCTCAACCGCTGCAAGAGAGATTCCTGTTTACTGACGATATTAAAAAATGGATTCACAAGGTCCCCAGCACAGGGTGGGGAAAAAACAACGGTAGACAGGAACATGCAACATGATCATGATCGGTATAAACTAATCCAGCCATCCAGACCAAGCGTCTACTTGCACTGAAACTACTAAGTGGCCTTAGATCTGAAAGGAGAAGCGAACAAACAACTGCACCAAGAATATGGTTTTCTTGCTCCCGTTCCATGTCCATAGCAGTGACAAGTCTAGTTTCCCATGCGCTGCTGATGCTTGGCTGCGTGCCCAAGGCAGATCCGATCATTGCAACTGTGCGACCCACTTGCGTGTTTGCTCCAGATAAAAAACGGAAGGAGAGACAAACTGATCTGGTTTCCATCTTCCAATCCTCCTTCGCCGATGCAGGTGACAGCGCTGGAAGCTCACTTTCCCAGCCCAACTGCCCAGTAGAAGTTACAGAACCAACAGATGGGTGACGAACATATGCCTGACACAGGTGCAAATGAATAAGAATAACAGCGCTAGCTCCAGCCTCGCTCTACTTGCCATACGTAGCGCACTGCACCACGACGTGCGTGCCGTGCACTCCCGTGAATTCCGGCCGTTGCGTTGCGGGCAGCTAGCTCGCAGCGGCACATGGACGGGGCTCGATCTGTGCCTGTGCTCACTGTTCACTGTCCATGGTCCACGTTTTCTGCATGAGCTTGTAGTTTAGTCTACACACACTCACTACGGGAGAGACAAAATTCCCCGAGTGTCGCTGGCTTCCCCGAGTGCCAAAAATCAGACACTCGGGAAAGAGGATCTTCCCCGAGTGTTGCACTCGGGGAAGAATTGCACTCGGGGAAGAGAGGCTTTCCCGAGTGCCTCAGAGAACCTGGCACTCGATAAAGAGCAGCACTCGGCAAAGGCACTCTTCCCCGAGTGCAACACTCGGGGAAGATCGACACTCGGCAAAGAAACATGCTACTTGACGGTTCACCCGCCCACGCCGTTAAAACTTAAAAAACAAAAATTCTTCCCGGGTGCCTTCCACGGCACTCGGGAAGAGTTCTTTCCAGTGTCGAACAGGACACTCGGGGAAAACTTCCTTCCCAGTGCCTGTCACGGCACTTTCGGGAAAAACCTCTTCCCCAGTGCGAGGAAGGCACTTTCGGGGAAAAATTTTTTTTTTTTTTTTTACCTCATTTTTTGTGAGGCCTTCCCACATTGTTTAAAGCTGCATGTTCATATTTGGGACAATTTTGACTTATTTTGTTATATTTCGTTAGTTTTTTTTCGTTTTTTTGAATTTTTTGCATACTTGAATTTGAAGCTGCAGGTGCATGAAATAATGGAATTTGGTGATTTATATAAAAATTATATTAATGATATTTGGTGTATGTTGATGCCTTACAAGATGGAACATCGCATGAAATATAGACCTCGGATAAGGCATCAACATACACCAAACAACATTGGGAAAAGTGTATTTAAATTATATAAAATCCGAGCGAATTTCATGCAAAATCACGAAACACAAATTCAAGTATGCGTCGTGTTATCGCATGTAGAGGCTATGATAAAAAAAATAAAAATTTAACAAAATAAGTTCAAAATCGGATCCCAAATATGAACATCTGCGAGTTATCACAATGATGCGGAGATATGCAGGCCTCACAAAAAATGAGGTAAAAACAAAAAATAAAATTCTTCCCTCCGCCTTCCCGGCACTTTGGGAAGAAGCTCTTTCCCAGTGCCGGGGCAGGCACTGGGAAGACTAAAAAAAAAAGGCCAGCAGGGCCTTATCTAAACCTAACCGCCACCCCACCCCAAACCAGCCAGCCCGCCCCGCCCGTGCGCTACCCCGCCGCCGCCAGCTCCCTCTGCCGCTTTGCCGCTTGCGCGCTTGCCCTGGCCGCGCTGCCCAGCGCCACCGCGTCCCCACAGCCCTCGCCGTGCGCCCATGACGCCATGCCACCAGGCCAGCAGCCTTCAGCAGCCACAGGCGCCACAAGAGCTTGCAGCGCCCAGGCCCAGAGCCCCCCAGGCCAAGGCCTCAGAGACTCGAGGCGGCGTGCTGCCGCCGGCGCCCCAGCAGCCCGCGCCACGCGCCCCGCAGCTTCCAGGCCTCGGCCGGCGCCCTCAGAGCCTGAGAGGCGGCGGCGGTTGCCCCACCGGCGCCCTGTCCTCGCTGGCGTGGGGCCCGTCCGGATTATGCGCGCCCCCTCCGCCCCGAGGCAAGCCGCTGGCCCCTGTCCGTCCGTCGTCCGTGTGGAGCCCGGCCCTGGCCGGGTGGTCGGGGAGCAGAGAAGGAGGAGGTAGGTGGAGGAAGGAGGAGGAGGAAGAAGAAGGAGAAGAAGAAGGGAAGGGAGGAGAAGGAGAAAAAGAAGGGAGGAGGTGCCTCCGTCGCCACGCCCCTGTTCCGTTGTTGGCGTCTTCTTCTCCCGCACGCCGTCCATAACGCCCAAGGTATCTGAACCGTCCCTGTTTCGGTTGTCGGCCATCGCGCCGTTTATGTGTTGACGGCCTTCGTGTGCGGAATTGTGGATGTGTGGGCCATCGTGCCCCAAATGTGGACGTCGGCCATCGTGTCGACGGTTTTTCTTCTTGAGTTATCGAAACCTCCCCATCCGGGGAGGTTCTCGCGAAATTTTGTACTTATAGTGTTGTTTTTCTTCTTTTGCGAGAGAAGGACTGTCGTAGGGGAATCGGAGCACCTAGGCGACCCGATCGTCTTCGTGGGCTGCTGTCCCCTACACCTGCAGCCACCGACACTTCGCCATCGTGATCGACTTCGCCCGCTGCGTCGCTAACCTTTCTCCACCGCCACCCTAGGTATAATTAAGCTCTTTTCCTTACCGTTTGTAAACGAGATCGGTGTAGCCCGATTAAGCGTCTCCGTCCGAAATAGATATGATTGGAGGTATGCGGATCTCCACATATCTATGACCGTATCTATTTCGGATTGTCCGGTGTAATTGGACAGCCAGCGGATGGGTAGATGGGTTAGTTTCCATGTTACGCTTTCGGATCCGAGATGGAGTTTCGGCACCACCTCCTGTTGTTCTCTAGATACACACTCTCCCTTCCGGGGACGTATCGGGAGAGCAGCGGGTAGGTCTGCCGAAAAAATTGCTCTCGGATCGAGTAGAGCATGGAAACTAACCTCATCTACGCATCCACGGGTGGGATTAGGACCTATCCTCACCTATTAGGCAAGAGGCACGCCCGTGCGGATCGACTTATGGTTACTTTACTCCGTTATGTGTATATGCTAGAGGATGGATACCCGTGAGTGGATGTACACGGGACGCCCAAGTCAGTCTCAAATCACCCGTGAATGGATGGATAAGACCGAGAAATTCTTGGACCATGCATTTAAGGCAGCTAAGGGAGCGAGAGACACGTTCTGTCCCTGCAGCGAATGTGAAAACAAGAAAAGAAGAACAAGGGAAGTCATGATGAAGCATCTTTGCAAGTATGGATTTATGCCAAACTATACCCGGTGGGTGCACCATGGTGAACCCTACCGTCCTAGAGAGGAGGTCGTGAGACGAGGCTTGGAGGCATTTGATGGTGATGGTGGGGTAGCAGGATGGTTAGGTGACTATGCGGATGCGATGTTCATTTGAAGGACGTCACGGAGGAAGCGGGGAGGATGGGGAGGAGGAGCGAGAGCAAGCGCTAAGGTGTTCTTGGACATGTTGGAATCGGCATGAAGTTCCTACATGAGAAGACATCGATTTCTCAACCTGGATGCCATTGGGCGCCTATTGGGGTTGAAGTCACAGCACAACATGACTCGAAAATGCTTCGATGATATGGTGGCAATTATTGGGGATCTGCTTCCGGCGGGTCATCAGCTGCCTCCAAACTTGTATGAGTCAACGAAACTCCTTCGGGCACTGAAGATGCCGTATGAGCAGATACATTGTTGTCCAAAGGGGTGCGTCCTATTTAGGAAAGAACATAAGGATGCAAAGTACTGTCCAAAGTGTAAATCCTCTAGATATGTGGAGGTAGACAAAGGTGATGGCAAGAAGGAGCAGAATGAGAGGATCCCCATGAAAGTCCTACGACAC